CCACAATGGAAATCTTTTGCATAAATGCTGACAGGAGTGGTCTGTCCCTTTAATTTTTCGTGAATTATATGCATAAATCATTTAAAGAGTGGACCTAAATTTTTAGTACAAGGATGAAAGACGTTTGAGGTGGCTTTATTTGAATTTAAAGGCTCTATTCTATCTAGAGAACTCCCATTTAGGGACACATCTCTTTTATATAAGGTAATAGCACTGGGGATTTGACTTCCTAATGGAGATGTTTAAATGAAGCTTATGGTCTACTTCCCCCACCCAAATCTGACTAGTTCGAGAAGACAAATTCCCCTGTCAAGGTCGAGATGATCAAACAGATTACAATTATTTTATCCCTCGTCTTTATTAATGAGCACTGTCTTTCACAGTTATGTCGACTAATCAGGATAGATGATATGTCAGCCTCCAGGTTTGTTGTTTTTCACGTATTTAAGGAGTCGTAGGGTTAATTTTGGTGAATTATATGCATAAACCATTTAAAGAGAAAACCTAAATTCTTTAGTACAAGGATGAAAGACGTTTGAGGTGGCTTTATTTGAATTTAAAGGCTCTATTCTATCTAGAGAACTCCCATTTAGGGACACATCTCTTTTATATAAGGTAATAGCACTGGGGATTTGACTTCCTAATGGAGATGTTTAAATGAAGCTTATGGTCTACTTCCCCCCAAATCTGACTAGTTCGAGAAGATAAATTCCCCTGTCAAGGTCGAAATGATCAAACAGATTACAATTATTTTATCCCTCGTCTTTATTAATGAGCACTGTCTTTCACAGTTATGTCGACTAATCAGGATAGATGATATGTCAGCCTCCAGGTTTGTTGTTTTTCACGTATTTAAGGAGTCGTAGGGGTTTATAAATTGAGAGATAATAAAACCGTACAGCTTGTCAGAGGAGAAACTGGGCTTTTGGAGGTTTAAAAAGGTCACGCTTTGTGTACTGTGTGCACAACACAAGCAAAGAGACTGGTCTGTTGTATAAAATATGTCAATTATCACATAACTGAATCCTTGTTCTTGGGAAAAAACGAAGAGCTGGTTGTAATGATCAAAACTGATGAAAACCAAAATATAATTTTTTAAGCTATGACATTTAGACTAGAATTTTTGCTTTGTTCAGACATGCCTTAAGGAAACTTGAAGGGTCAGTTCACCCAAAAATTTAAATTCTGTAATTTTTCACTCATCCTCATGCCATTCATAACCGTATTTGATATTACTTTCTTCTACAGTTCTACAGAAGAAAGTAGAAACTGTTGAAGAAAGTAGAAAGTAGGCTGTAGACTCTCTGGCCTCAGTCTCGTAACCAAAAGGTCACGGGTTCGAGTCTCGGTTGAGACTCTTATCAAATGGACAAAAATAAGTGTAACCTCCTTAAAATATTTAACGACACAAGGGTAATTATATTATGGTCGATTTTTCTTTTTCTTTTTCCTTTTCTTTTCTTTTCTTTTCTTTTCTTTTCTACTTTAAATGGAAACTATGCTCCACATAGAAAAACTAGCTTTTAATGGTAGTTTTAAGCTACACTATTTTCAAAAAGCTGTTAAATGAGTTGCTCTCCAATACTGTTATTCACCATAAACAAGCATGAAAAGGCTAAAGATGGTTCCTTTACTCACCACAGTCATAATAAAACTATGAAGTAATGTTAAATATTACTCTTTTTTTGTTAAGAGTGTCAAGTGAACATCCCTGATTCGGTCAACCGCTCTGACGTTCAGCCTCTCTCTTTCTCCTCTCCCTTCTTTCTCTCTCCATTTCCTTGCATTCGTCAGAGTCATAACCCTGTTGTCTCAGCCGAGTGAATCAGATTGAGCCCCTGGCACAGAATGAAGGCAAAGTCAACAGGAATTAAGTTTCAGTGCAACTGTTTACTCAACTGTGGCCTGCAGTTATTGAAATCTTATCCATGGTTTTATGTGACGACTGCAGTAATGAATTCAGTATGCTTGTGATTTTCGAACTGACAACATCACGCTAAGTCCGAGAAGCACACGACAGACTGAAGCAATTCAGAGGACAGGGGAAGGCGAAAGCGAGAGCCAATCACAGATGCTTCAGATTATTGATTGACGGCGATATACTCTAGTTACATATTGATCTCAAGCAGACTGAAGGAAATGTCAAATGGGTTTTATTCCTACACATAATCCAAAATAATCATTCAAATTCACAACCAACATCTTACCAAATTAAACACAATACAAAATCTATATCCCTTGTATGAAATAAGACCCCCAAAAAAAAAATCAGTTTTGGGTCGTTCTCTGGTTTCAAACCAGCCGTCATGTAGACCTGTCCTGTTTGCCGTTAAAACCAAGCCTTTTCAGTTCAACGACAGCCATGTTACTCCAACAGACAGCTACTTCAGAGACTCCCCATCCCCACGAAACAACCCTTGACAACATCTCCCATCATGCCGTGGGGTGCAGATAACACACGACTGGCTGATCTTTTCAATGCTGGCCCGCTCAACACGTTGTCGTGTGGGCAAACGCAACACTTTGACAGACAGAAAGAGCTCGTCTGTTTATTTCAGTGTGAGTGAGGATGTTTTGGGCACACTTGGTATATAATAAAAACAGCTGCAACACTCCACGCTCCAATGCTCTGAAAGGAAGCTCTCCGAAATCTCGACCTGAGTGTTAGGGGTGTTTACAATGCGACAGGTGAAATCTGTGGCATCCGGATGAATGCAGCACATACACGACTGTCCATAAATTCCATTGCACCTATGCATTTGTCTGTTGCAGCACGCCTGATAAATATTTCACCTGAATGCAGATGCTGTGGAGTTGCAGGGATAAACACATCGGCAACCAAAAACACAATCACAGAAAAAGCACTTAGTGCATTTAAAAATTCAAACCGATCTCAATATACATAAATAATCATAATAATGTGTTTATGTACTCTGGTTGGAGGGGGTGCAACGATTAAATATTTACAAGCACTTAAAGAGGGTAGAGAAGGATGCTGTTGACATGCGTTAAAAACAGACAGGTGCAAGAATGAAAGAAAGAAATATAGGAACATGGGTAGGAAGGAACAAACAAATAAAGGATGGAAGGACTGAATTGTAGGGATGCACCGAAATGAAAATTCTTGGCCGAAGCCGAAACCGAACAAAATGAATCACTGGGCCGAAGGCCGAATACGAACACGTTTTTTCGAGTTTTTTCCCCCATGTATTTTGCCTAATTTTTTTCACCATTGCATGAATTAAATAGCCAAAATGTGCTTTTACTCTTTTGTCTTGCTTTTCAAAGAAAAACAAATAAATTACAAAACAACAATTTAAAAATATTTAACACTGAACATTTTTAACATTCTAGCAGACACTATAACCAACAAAGCACAATTTAACTTAAAATTAATAAGTTAGTAAAATGATATTTTTTGGCCATCAGACCCCCTTCTTGAATCAGGCATGTATTTTTACTGTACAATTAAAAG